AAAGAAAGAAAGAAAGAAAGAAAGAAAGAAAAAAGTCTTACAGAGATTATCTTTAACACCAGTAAACTCATCAGTTTCAATGAAATTGAAAAATCACTTGAAACCCTCATGGTGAGAAAAAAGTAAAGAACATGAATTGCTTTAGAAATAAACAACCTGTAATTAAAGATCTTGCCAGAGAGAAAAGTTTGGTCTAGGTTTTCTGGGTCTGCTTGTAAATTCTGTAAGGAAGAAGAGTGGGTGCTGAAACCCTTTCATGAGAGCTGAAGCTTTGCTCCACTCCACTTTGGCCACCCCAGCACACACAGCACACACACGACAGGGCGGTGCCGAAAACAAGCCCACAACAGCACTCACTGCAGGCCAGCACATGGCTGATGACACCAGGGAGTCACCTTCCAAGGAAGGGACCACTTTGCAGCCAGTGGGGTGGGGGTCAGAGTCCCAGGGGAGACAGCTGGGGCTTGTGGCAGCATCTGAGGCAGGGATGCACTGGGAAGGAGTCCCACCTGTGGGCAGTGCTGAGGCAGGAGCAGGGCCAAGCAACGCAATCGTTTGGGATCCTCTGCTGTAAGCACCCCCACGTCCTGGGTCGGTGCCAGCTACTAGGAGAGTGCAGACCAGGCTGAAGCTGAGTCTGCTTCTCTGCGCGGCTTGGATGCTGCGTTAGGGCAGCCGCTGGGTGTGCCCAAAGAAGGAAATGAAGAGAGCACGGTGACAATGCCTGGTCAAAGAGAAGCTAGCCACAAGAGATAGAACCAGAGGAAAATGGCAAAGTAAAGAGTGCAACGGGAAGGAGAACCACACCAGACAGAAGAAGGAATCGCAACGTGTGGGTGGAGGTACAGAAAGTGCACAGCCTGAAGAGCAGGAGAATGGCGCAAGAGGGGAGAGAAATGGACAGTGCGAGGCCTCTGCACATGGTTCATGAGAAGCAATGGTGTCGAGAGTCCACGTGCGACCAGCTGGGACACAGAGCTGCACATGCGACTGACCCACCAGGGAGCTGGAGGCCTGTCCTCTCCAGTGCAGGGCCTGAGGTCACCTAGGTCAGTGCAGTCTTGTAAACGAATACTCCAAGTGTCCAGAGGGCAAAGGAAAATCACCTGCCACTAGGAGAACCGGGGAAACCTTGACCTGCTGGAGGACACACAAACAGCACCTGCCAAAACAGAGACACTGTGGCTGGCAAAATACTCAGCAGGGATTTGCAAGGAGCCTGCATAAAAAGGCTCCTCTAAGCCAAGAACAAGCTTGAAACAAACGATCCAGAGCCCACCCATCCGCACATACCACTGCCTGCACCAACAAGCAGATGGCTGTCACCGTGGCTCTCCGGGAGTCAGACTGCTCTACTGCTCCATGTGTTCTACTTTCCATGGACAAGAACTGTCATCTTTAAGGGCACAGATGTGTCTCTGTCACACACACCCCACAGCGATCACCTGTGGGGTACTTGGTTCTCTGCCGTCTCACGCATCTTACTGTTCCTAAGTGATGGGAACAATCAGAGCCCCTTCTACTAGGCGTTCTGAGCCAGGTAACAAGCACGGAGCCCAGCCACCTCCTGCGTACAGCAACTGGAGCCACTGGTCTGGGTGCCTGCTGCCCGACCTGCCAGCCTCTGGGAGCCGCTGCTCCTCCCCAGGCTCAGGCGCTCTAGGGTCCGGCTTTGAGTGAAATCACGCAGCATGGACTTTCTTGTCCACCTGTGATGAGGCTGTGCTCCAGTGGCCTCATCCCTGGCTGGACTGTCTCTCGATGTGTACTACCTCTTTACCCATCGTGGCACGGCCTCAGGCACAAGCTTCAGAGGCAGCCTTGCCTCCTCTGGCAGTGACTACCACCCAGCGCCAACACACAGGAAGCCAGCGGCTCCCACAGTGCCTGGGACTCTGGCAGAGGCCGGCTTCTGCTTCATCTCTGAGCCGCACCTGTTCAGGTGCCATGGGAGCACAAACAGATCTCTTGTGAGGAGCAATGCTGCCATCAGCCCCCAGCCTCTGGCTTCCCTCCCCTATGGCAGAAGGTGCTGCCACTTGACTTTGCCCAGTGTGAGTCCTTCCTGGTCCAAGCTCTTGGAGCCCGTCCTGAGCAGTGTTGAGCCAAGGCCAGTCCCGAGTCCCTGTGGCTGAGCTAGCTTCCCAGTGCTGTCACCAAGGGCCCTGGGCCTCAGGGTCCTCTCCTGAGCATTCTCTAGACCCTGCTGCGTGCTATGGAAGAGCATGCACCTCTGTGCTGAGTCTCTCAGGCTTGCTGTGCCCTAGTCTGGATACACACTGGGCCTTGAGTCTGGGTCCTCACGTCCTACAAGGCAGCAGGTGTAGGCCAGGCCCACAGTTCCCGGCAGGACAGGGCTGCTCACAGGTGGGGCAAAGGCTGCTTCCACTGGCAGAGAAGACCACATGGACCTCCACAGCCACTCTGCTTGTAAATCAGATGTGCTTAAGGCTCAAGAGCAGGGCAATTTCAATAACATGGTAGAATAAAGACTGTAGATGTCATCTCGAAGGCAGTGTCTAGCTTCTTTCTGGTGTGTCTGCATCGCCGGCATCCCTGTTCCTACGTGTTGGGCCAGGCATGGGGATGCCTGAGCAGCAGCTCAGGTCTGGGGCCCACAGTGTGGCCGTGCTCTGGGAGTGTTGTGTCACTGTGCTCCTCAAACCTACAACTGAGGACGTGCACTGGAGGTGTGGACATCTCTCAGGGCTTGACTAACACTGAGCAGGGCAAAGCCATGAGAGAGGAGGGGATATTGCAACTGCAAGTGTCAAAGGGTCTCTTCCCTTCCCTTTCCTCCCACCCTTCTTCCCCTTGTTTTGTTTTGCTGGCACTGGGGACTGAACTTAAGGATTCAGACCTGATAAGCAAGTACTCTACCACTGAGCTACCTCCCCAATCCTTTAGTAAAATTTTTGAGACATGGTTTTGCTGAGCTGTTCAGGCTGGTCTTGCACTTGCAGCTGTCCTGGTACAGCCTGCCTAGAACTGGGATGACAGGCAAGTACCACTGCTTCTGATACTTCAAAACTAACGTTAAAGCAATACAGTTAAAAACTTAAAATGAGTTGGAGCTTGGTGTGCTAAAGGATGTGCTCTTATGAAGAGCGGTGGGCGGGGTCACCATGGGGTAGGCCAACACTTCCCTCCCCGAGCACGGTGTGAAGAGACAGTCCCAGAGCAAATATTCTGGTGGACAGACCAGACAGGTGAACAGTAAAGCTGACCCTAATGTCCTCTGTGAGTAGGTGTGGTGCAGGGATAACTGCCTGGGAGGCCTGCCAGGCCCATGCCCACTAAGCACCAGTGACATCACATCCACCATCCTTGGAGGCTGCAGGCTCCAAAGAGCAGACACTCCTCACAAAGCCCCGACAGGCCTGGGTCCTCGATGCCTCCAACCTGAGGTCCTGTGCACAGTCAGCATTGTGTCCCCAAACACACACAGAGTATGGGACAGAAGAAAAATTTAACAAGCATGAAGCTGAATAAAAATAAAAGCACCAATCAAAAGAAGAGAGAACATGTAAGGAAACCAGTGAAGGATCACAGACATACAAAACGAGAGTTCTGCATAAGCCATGTTTTTAAAAACCTGGTGGAGAAATAAGACAGGAACAATTCCCACTTTGAGGGACAAAGCCTGAGCTCCACAAGGCCCACCACAAAACATGCCTGGAAATGCATACAGGAAAACGGACACAGCACAACACAAGCCATCACAGGAGGGGACATGTGTCACCAGCAGGAGCCACCACACCTGCATGGATGTGCACCCGGCCTCAGGGACCCTCAGCACATGGCCTGTCCCCACCAGGACACGGGCCCTCGAGGGGCAGCAGCCCTGGGCACACACCTGCCAGCCACATCCAGGTCTGACTCCATCTTCTCCAGACCCTTCATGACACTGTCCAGCTGCTCGCCCTGGTGGTGCAGAACCTTGGCGGCGTCTTCCAGGTGCCTCTGGGTGCTGGTCATCAGCCCCATCAGCTCCCGCCCCCTGGTTGGGGCAGGGGGGGCCACCTCTGTGGCCTTGACATGCTGTGACAGCAGCAGATCTCTCCAGAAATGCTCGATGACATTGAAGACCACATCACGGCTGGGCCTCAGGGAGCCAAACCAGTGTTTGAGGCAGCTCCTCTCTAGGACTGTGATGGCACTGAAGATGAAGTGGGAGGCTTCTTTCCGGACCTCCACGATGCTGGCAAGGGGCAAGCCCACAAGAACCTCCCCAGTGCTGGCCGCTGTGAACTTTAGTGAGTGAGGTGTCAAGGACAGGCTCCCAGGGATCCATCGCTTCTTGAGGGCCAAATAGTAGGAGCAGGACCAGGAGTGGACACAGACATCGCCGCTCATTTGCCCCGGGTCTGCTGTGTCACGCCAAGGGCACACACACACCCCTAAGGGAGAAGAGACTGTTAGTGGGCAGTCGGAGAAGCTGAATCCAGGATGCTCAGGCTAGAAACCTGAGGAAACCAACTGGCTGGGAAACTGAAGCGGCCCTGAAGGCTCCTCTCAGTAAGGACGAAGCCCAGACCCTGTGAGGCAGGCGAAGGAAGAGAGGGTGGGTGGCGCAGGCTGATATTAGAACCAGGCCCTGGTCCAGACCTGCAGGCACTCCTGCTGGTCCCTCAGCACAGAGTTTCTGCCCTGCACCTACTGTGCATGTCCCGAAGGCTCCTAAGGGCTAGACTAGCAGCTCACCCTCAGACTCTTCCCACAGGAAGGAGGAAAAATGCTTCCTGCTGTTATGGTTTGGGTCTAGATGTTCCCCCAAAGCCTCAGGTAGTCAGGGCAGGCTTTCAGAGCTTGTGACTGATCACGATCCAATGCTGGGACTATGGGTGTGAGTACTACACTGACCCTGGGGGTGACAGCCTGAATGCAATATAGTATGGGAAAGAGGCCTGGCGCTGTGCTGCCCTCCCTTTCTGCACTTGCTGTTTTCTGCCACCGTGAACTGCTGCCCTCTGCCATGTGTACTCTGCCTTAGAGCTAGCTGAGCAGGGACTGAAACCTCTACAAACTGTCAGCCAAATAAGCCTTTCCTTCCTTCACTTTGGGTGTCGGGCATTTTGTCCCAGCAGTGAGAGAAAAGTAACCGAGACACCCACACAGGCAGAAACTGAGGGAATTTGCCACCACCATATCCACCCTTTATGAAATATCTAAATTACCACTACCCTAAAAACAAAGAGAATGAGCTAAGTATGGTGGCACACACCTACAATCCCAGCACTTGGGAGGCTGAGGCAGGAAGATCATTTTGAGTTCATGACCAGTCTGGGCTACAAAGTGAGCTCAAAGCCAGCCTCAACTGCATGGCAAAGCCTTGTCTTAAAAAGACAAAAATGAATAAATAAAAATAAAATAATGATGATGATGATAAAAAGAGGATGATCGGGCCGGCGATATAGCTCAGTGGACTAAGCATCTGCTTATGCAAGTCCAGGGACCAGGGCTTGATCCCCGGCACCACACACCACACCAGCCCCGCCCAAGCGTGCTGAGCTGGTGACTCAGTCCAGGTGTTGCTGTGCACACCTGTAATCCCAGCACTGCAAGCGTGAAAACAGGAGGATCACTACAAGTCTGAGCTGCATACTGAGACCCTGCACCAAAAGCATTAAAAAAGAAAAAAAGATGATTAAGTACACCAAGAAACTATGCCAAGGTACAAAGCTCATCAGCAAAACACATACACAAAAGAAAGGACAAGGGGCCTGGCCTTAGCTCAGTTGTTTAAGTGGCTGCTTCCACAAAGCTGTCAGCCTCAGGTTGCTGGAGTTTGATCCCCACAACACTCCAGCCAGCCAAACCACCCCTGAGGGCATTCGGAGCAAAAAAAAAAAAAAAAAAAAAAAAAATCTTAAAAGAAAGGACAATCAGACCTCAGCATGATGGAAAACTTCCAAACCAGAGACAAATAATGAGACCAGACACAACCACAACAACAACACCAAAATAATTAGAAGACAGTAACAGAAAGGTTGAGAGTAAACTCACAGGTATCAACAAAAACCTTGAGTGTGAATGGATTTAAATCACCAATCAAAAGAAAAACACTGGCTGAACAGACAAAAACTACAAACTGCCTACCACCAACTTGCTTCGTTAGTAAAGATACATGGACTAAAACATGAATCACTGAGAAAAAATACATTGCACAAATGGAACCAAAATGAGTGGGAACAGTTGTACTCAGATAAAGCAGATTTAAATAAAAATGTACGGGTAACAGAGAAGGACATAAAAGAACTAAGAAGTCTTGTGTACACAGACCAATTCCACACAGGCACTGTGATCATCCTGCACTGCACATATTCTAACAGAAACACATTTAAAAAACAAAGAGAAGTTAATCACACAAAGACAAAAAGATCAAGTCAGCAAGAAGCCAGAACTACTACACCACCCAAAACCATAAAGCAAGCATAACTGGACCTAACAGGAGAGGCAAACTCTGCAGAAGAGCAGTCGAGCCCTTGAACACTCCACTTTCATGAATGGGCACAGCATCCCAACTGAGCCGTACCAATGAAAACAGACCGAACACACTGACAGAAGTTTCATCCAACAGCAGTGGAACACATTCTTCCCAGTAACATATGGAACACTTTCCAGGAGAGCTCACGTATGCTGCAGTCACGTCACATATCTTCTGAGACCACAAGTAAAGATACGTATCCACAAGAATGGAGAAAAATATAGAACTATATGGAAATTGAACGTATTCCTAAATGACCAATAGAAAATTAGAGAAAGTTAAAGAAAAATAAAAAAACGTTGAAATACAGAAAGAATGGCCACAAAACACCAAAAAATCTGAGATAGTAAAAGCAGTAAAAACAGGGAAGCTTCCTGCAGTAAGCGCACGTCCTGCAGCGGAGTGGGACTAGCTGTGATGGCGCACAGTCAGGAGCTCAGCTACTGGGTGCTGGGGGCAAGTGGGTGCAAGGGACAGGCCAGCCAGCACGGCGTAAGGAGGCCCTGTGTCAGAAAACAAAAACAGGGGGTGGGGACACGGCTCAGGCTAAGTGCTGCCTGGCAAGTGAAAGGTCCTGCGTTTGATTCTCAGTACCAAAAATACAAAAATAAAAAATAAAAAGGGGTGAGCGGAATGTAGCTTAGAGGTAAAGTATCCCTGAGTTGATCTGTAGCACAAAAAAAAAAAAAAAAAAAAAAAAAAAAAATCCAAATCACCTGTCAAGGCACTGCACGCACAAAGAACAAATCAAAATCGAAATCAGAAGGAAAAAATAAATAACCGAGACCAGAGCAGAAATATATAAAATAAAAACTAAAACCCTCACCATATCCAATACAAAGGATCAATGAAGCAAAAAAAAAAAAGCTTTATTAAAAAGATAAATAAAATTAATGAGTTTTTAGATGGACTAATCAAGGAAAAAAACAGAAGAGCCAAGTAAGTAAATTCAGAGATGAGAAAGATGTTGCAACTGGTACCACAAAAATAAAAAGGTAACACAAGAAACTATTAAAATATTTCTTTAAAAGGGAAGAAAGGTGGGGCATGGTGGTGCATGCCTGTAACCCCAGCACTCAGGAAGGTCAAGCAGGAGGATCATTGAGAGTTCCAGACCAGCGTGGGCTACAAAGTGAGCGTAAGGCCAGCCTAAACTGCATAGTGAGACCCTATCTCAAAAAAGACTAAAAAAATAAAATGGAAAAAGGAAGCTAATCTGAACAATTACATCCAACAAACCGGAAAATCAAATAGTGGACACATGCAACATACAAAGAGTACACTGAAAAGGAACAGAAAATCTAAACAGACAAGGAATGAGCAACAAGGCTGAAGCCATAGGTAAAAATCTCCTGCCTAAAAACTCCTAGGACCTGAGGGCACCTGGCTGAATTCTACAAAATATCTAGAGAACTAATTCTAATCCTTAACAGCTTCAAGCAGGGAGCACTGTGACTGGCAAGGGCTTGGAAAGAAGTGAACGAAGATACATCAAAAATGCAACAGAGGAAGAGGCTCTGGCTCTCTATGGCCAAGCAGGGCAACTACTTCTGGGTAAATACAGGCTGGATGCATCCCAGTAAGGCTATAGGAGAACCGAACTAGGAGCCAACCCAACTACGGAAGAAACAGGAACAGCGGCACCTACTATGTGCACATGCGCACCTGCGTCTCGGTGACAAAAACGTACTTCCTGATCCAAGTACCATCTGGAGTACCTGGTGTAGCCCAAGAAACTCAGGGTGCATGAGCATCAGACTCACAGCTTGCATGTGCGTACGGGGCAAAGGGCGGCACTGCGCTCTCACAGAAGTTGTTTCCATACTGCCCACTGCACCTTCTTTCCCACTTTCACTCGGCCCAAACTCACTCTGCCTGGCAGGCTTCTTCTATCTTTACTGAATGATAAAAGTAGTCCCAGGTTAAAGCAAAATGACCACTTCTTTGTCAAACAAAAATGAACCCAACTTTTCTGATGCCCTCATTCCCCACACAGCTGGGGCCTTGCTATAACCACCATGGCAAAGGTGGGCCCATCTGCCCAACGCTGTGCAGGGGTCACTACTTTCAGTCCCATCTTGCAATCACAAGGTCACAAGCCAGAAGGTACCACCTTCCCAGGTATGAGAATGTCACTACAGTGTAAATCAGACATGAGAAGTATAAGTGACAAAAATGTCAGGGTGGGAGGGGTAATCCCAGGTCACAACCCCTGGTGGAGGAGGAAAGCCCACCCCAGCTTGAGCCGGGCCTAAGAATCTGACCTTGCCCAGACCAAGGCAAAGAACCATAATAACAACAAACAAAATGCTTCACACTCTTGGTGAGAGACAGCCAGGAAGTTTACAGCCTGATGTCACTGGAAAACAAGATTTTCTCAGCTGCAGGAGAGGGGCCCTGCTTCCATGGAGGGGTTGTCTCTCCAAGAGAGTACTTCGCAGGCGAGCCTGCACCAGTCCCTGCCTTGTCAGCACACTCCACAGGGTCATGCTAGAGGACCTAGCGAGGGAGAAGCCTGTCCTTTCTGACAGTGCCTCCCAGTGAACTGTATGAGACTAGTCCCTGAAACAGGAACCACCTGAGCTCTCCACTGCCATGCCTCTTGAGCAAGAGCTGGGAACTTTAGCGGCCACAGGCAAGGGCACCCAAGTGACCCTCAATCATCACTGGAATCCACATTTCAGAATTGGGGGACAGTGCCCACTTCAGCTCAGCCATGGACTGGAACCCTTAGGCCAGGGGAAAGGTAAGGAGCACCCGGCAGGGCACTTGCCACCCTGAAGGCAGCCTTGGCCTGGCCCAAATGAACAGCTTTTCACCTCAGCCACACCTACGGCCAGGGGTGGTGTAAGGACTGACAACAGGTGGGCAACTTGTGCTCAGCTGAGTAGAGTTAGCGTGGTGCCAAGTGTG